AAAGAAAAATACAGTCACAAGCCTTTGGAGTAATTTAACATCTTTAAGAGAAATAATAGGAATATTAGCTGTGAGATACACATGAAATAAAAACTGCATATATGGAGTGAGAAAGTAGAGCCCCTAGTGTGAGTTGCACTCTGGGTAAAAAAAGTACCAATTTTCTGACTATGAGTACCATCAGATGAACCTGTCTGGTTCTGCTGTGCTCATTATTTCAGCTGTACATTGTCAGTGTCCAGACAGAAACCCATCATCTCTGTGAATTATACATTACAAATGATGAATTTTGAAAAGTTGCTGTAAACCCCCCAAAAGCTCCATGTCGAGTTTCCATGTCACTAATTATCAGTGAGAAAAAGGAAGAATTCGGGGAGAGGAAAAAAAGCAAGAAATTCTCAAACCCTGCTTGTTTGCTGTATTTTGTGGTCTGTGTAGGTTCCAGACAAACTCACAGTCAGCATCAGCGCTCCTGTGAGGTTCAGTCCAGGCCAGAAGACAGTAACTCTAATATCCATGAGGTCATTCCCCTGCCACGAGCCCTCAGAGGAGAAACAGCCTTTATGAGGCTCCATTCTCATCACGAAAACACGCAACCCACACTGAAGAACCACATGCTGAATGAGCCTGCGCACACACACACACACACACACACACACCCACACACTCACCCGGAGAAGGCTTTGGAAAGCTCAGAGCACTTGAACTTGTGTCAGGAAGTGTCAAGGTTCAGGTCTTTGAGTCTCCCTAATGACATTTATGATCTGTAGCCACTGGTCCACTACAAACACACTAATTTACTGTTTTTAGACTGAGCTGAAACCAGAGTAAGCATCCATTCTAAGATGTATGGCTTTCATATGAACAGATGGTGAGTGCAGGGCTACCAGAATCGGGCTCAACATTAGAATATTTTTCAGTAAAATTGACAGACAGTGAGACAATGGAGTTGCAATCATCAAGTTACAGTCATAATGAAGCCACCGTAGTAGAAAACGCATTTTTATTTGAGGTAATGTAAAATGTTTTCCAGCCTCGTGGTGCTTACTTCCTTTTTATTGATGCGATTGATTAAGGCGGCCGTAAAAGCAGCACGGCAGAAAATCTGCACATTAGTTTTATGTGGTTCTTTAATATTAGAGTGTACAAAAAATATTCCATTAGGTCATTCGAACAGCTGCGCAGAGCAGACGTTGGGTTTATCATACATTTTATTGGGCTGATCACAGAAGCATAATTCATTTAGCAAATTTTATATGAAAATATTCATACAATACAACGTTGGAAGAGCAAGTATTGGACAATTACTAAGAAGCTTAACTACTGATAGAGACAGTAAATGTAAGACCTACTCATCCGAACAAACAAACAAAAGTAAGAGGTTGGGCCATATTATACATTGTTTGGTAATAGTGTTCAGACTTAACACTTGTGAAGGTGCAATGAACTCATGTTACAGTCTGTAGACACCTTTAGGTTTGGGACGTTTTGGAAG